TAGAATTGAATTGGTTGAAATTTTATCCTATGTTTTAGCATTTTTATACTTTTCTAACTTTCCATTTTACAAATACTTTTCTTGATTCTTAGAAGGTACTTAAGAAAACAATTAAGTTTTATATTAATAGAAAAAATGCAGAAGTATATAGTATTGTTAGCTTTCTCATCAAGGCTAGCATAAACAACTAAGAGGTAAGAAAGGTCCATTTTGTTTCGTTTCAGAGATTTCACCCTACCATGGCAAGCCACGGTGGAGTCACTCACACACAAGATCAGGAGCATAGTTAGGGATTACAGGAAAGGCTCAGCACAAGATGTATCACCCAAGGACTCACCCTCATTTCTTTGCTACTCAGCTGTTTGTTGCTATGTTCAAGCATTAAAAGAGAGGAGTTACTTATTTTGCTTGGGGGTTTGAATGTTGATCCCCAGTAGTGAGGCAGAATTTCATGGCTGGGGGCATGTTGCAAAGGCTACTTGAGTGTGAACAGTAGGAAATGAAGGAAAGGGAATGCTCTAGGGAAAGGCCCAGACAAGATACAGCCCAAGAGGACATGGCCCCCAGTGATGTTTCTCCACCAAGGAAGCCTCTTGTCCTACTTTACACGGCCTTCCAATAATGCCATCAAGGGATGAGTCCATTGATGAGCTCAGAGATCACAGGTTCCAATCACTTCCCCAAAGTCCATCAGCTGCCAGCCAAGCCCACAGCTCATGAGTTCGTGGGAGTCATTTCATATTTAAACTCTTAACACATATGCAGTTAAGATACCAGGGCAAGAGTATAGCTCACTTATAGCTTATAAAGCCCTGGGTTCAATTTTCAAGTGGTGAAGATTGAACCCAGGGCCTCAACAATAACATTTTTGTTTAACTTTTTTGCAACTCAAGGACCTTGTACCCACTTGGCTTGTACTCTACCATTTGAGCCATGTATCCAGCCTGGGTTTTTTCCTAGTTATTTATCAAAACACAAAATCTAGAAGACCAAACACGTTTTTCTTGTGTTTATATTGAGACTAGCCATGCTCTCTTCAGAATATTCACTAGAGGGCTGGGAAGGTGGCTCAGTGGTAGAGCGCTTGCCTTGCGTGCATGAGGCCCTGGGTTCGAAGCCGGAAGTGGCACTGTGGCTCAAGTGGTAGAGCGCTCACCTTGAGCTGAAGAGCTGAGGGACAGTGCCCAGGCCCAGAGTTCAGGCCCCACGACCAGACCCCCCCCCAAAAAAAAAAAAAAAGAATATTCACTAGGGCCCTGGGACACTTCATGGTGTAATAAAAATGTTTATTCTCTGAGTCTTAACAGCAACATTCTACAGGAAGAACTGAAACCTATCACCAGATCTAGATTTGCTCCCAAGAGGAGTTTCCATTCATTCTTTGATTATAACAGAACTACGATGAGATAACTTTACAACCAAACATAGTAGCACACACTTGGAGACCCAGCTGCTGGGGACACTGAGATGGCAGCATTGCTTGAGCCTAGGCAACATAAGGAAAAAAATTACTTTGACAGTGAAATGCTGTTTTTAAAATGTATTCAAATGTTATGGCTGTGTGTAGCTAAGGCTAAGTTCTTGGATAATATTTTTACCAGTTATGAAAACTTCCAACATGAGTTCAAGGACAATGTAGGCTATGTAGAAATCTTTTTAAAAAAGCAAAACCATATAATAAAATTACACTTCAAAGCTTAAAAAATATAAATCATCCTTATGTGCCAATAAAATGGCAGGAATTGCTATATGCTTTTTAGTAGTATCTGCATATCAGTGGTCTCAATTCTCAGCCAAAAGACAAGCTGGTAGATTATGTTTCTTCTTCGACAATGTCACCCCTTCCCTCTCTGTCCCAGTTTTTCCTTCCTGTCCCCACCACAAGTTGTAGAGTTCATTCTCAACAGTGTCTGGTGGGTACCACAGCTGCATTTGTGGACTCTGTCCCACAATTTCTGTGCCTCCTTACTCTCCCAAAGATAGATAAACAAAAGAAATCAAAAAGGAAAAAAAAATCTTTGTTTCCCTTTCCTAGAGTTCATTTTGATAAATATTATATGAATAGACACACGAAGTGGCGCTGTAGCTCAAGTGGTAGAGCGCTAGCCTTAAGCTGAAGAACTAAGGGACAGTGCTCAGGCCCAGAGTTCAAGGCCCACGACTGACCAAAAAAAAACAACAAAAATAATGAACAGACACACATAGGTATCGCACTTTGTGTTCCTCTCCCAAGAATATCCTTTGGTCTCACTGTGTGTGGATGCCTACAGTCATGTATAATCTCAATGTATTTTAGATCTAGCTTCCACATGTAACATTTGTTCTACGTCCATCCATTTCCCTGAAAATGACATAATACTTTTTAATGGTTATGTAAATTCCATTGTAAATGAATACCACTTTTTTTTTTTCATCCACTCATCTATTATAGGGCATCTGGGCTATCTGACTAGCAACGAACATGAATGTAGGGCATCCTGGCTTGTGACATCTTGGGTAGATGCCCAGGAGTGTTATGGCTGAGTCAGAGGGAAGATCTATGTTTACATTTTTTTTTTTTGGGTCCGGTTGTGGGGCCTGAACTCTGGGCCTGGGCGCTGTCCCTCAGCTCTTCAGCTCAACGCTAGCGCTCTACCACTTGAGCCACAGCACCACTTCCAGCTTTTTTCTTTTTGTTTATGTGGTACTGAGGAATCGAACCCAGGACCTCATGCATGCAAGGCAAACGCTCTACCACTGAGCCACCTTCCCAGCCCGTGTGTTTATTTTTTTGAGGAACTTCCAGACTATTGTCTAGAATGATTGTATTAGTTTACATGCTCATCAATAGTGTAATAGAGTTCCTTTTCCCTACATCCCCACCAACATTTGTTGTTCAAATTTACATAGTCAATCTAACCGGGGTGAGATGGAATCTCAGAGTTTTGATTTGCATTTCCTTTATAGCTAGGGATGATGAGTATTTCCTCCTGTGTTTCTTTACCATTCTTGTCTCTACTGAGAAGTCTCTCCTTAGTGTCTTTGCCCATTTAATGATTGGCTTATTAACTTTGGGTGAGGGCTTAGTTTCTTGTGCATCTTGTATATTTTGGATATTAGGCCTTTGTTTGATGTATTGATGGTAAAGATCTCCCAGTCTGTTGGCTGTCTTTGTAGGTTAGTAACTATGTCCTTTGCTGTGCAGAAACCTTAGTTTGATGTAATACCATTTGTCAAACCTATCTCCTATCTGCTGTGCCCTTGGAATGCTTTTCAAAAAGTTTCTGCTATATTTATGAATTCTAGTGTTTTTCCTATACTCCCTCTTGCAGTAATTTCAAAGTTTCAAGTCTGACATTGTGGCCTTTGAACTACTTTGAGTTGATATTAGTGCATGGTGTCAACCACTTTTAGTTTTCTGCATATGGGTGCCCAGTTCTCCCAACACCAATTATTGAAGAGCCTATCCTTTTTTCCACTGCATATCTTTGTCTCCCTTATCAAATATCAGATAACTCTAAGCATATGGTCTTATTTTTGGGTCTTTTGGTCTGTTCCATTGATCTTTGGGTCTCTTTATACCAATACCAAGCTCAAACCAAATGTCTTTGCAAACGTTAAATGGCCTCAGGGTTAGATGTGCTCCACTCCCACACTATGAAATAGGTTCCACGAAGACAGTTTTTTTTTTTTGTCCATTCTTAGAATTTCAGCCCTTGACAGCACAAAGGAGATGCTGAAGAAAAGATTTCTGAATGAGTGGGAGAAAGTTCTAAAGAACAGTGTAAAAGGAGTGGCACAAAGTAAGATAAGAGAAACAGAAATCCAGACTAGCCTGGATTGAGATCTTGGAAAAAGCAAGATTCTATTAAAAAAAAAAAAAAAAGTCAAGAAGGGCTGTGGGCTTGGCTCAAGTGGTTCTGTCCTGATCAAGCAAGACACCCTGCAAGGCAAAAACCAAACCAAAACCATCAAGATAACAAAATGGTCATTACAGGAAGTGGTTAAATATGTAGAAATAAGTTAAAATCACAGTGATTTTATATTCTTTTATCTTCTACATTTTTGGGTACAAAATTGAAACTTTCAGGGAAATCTGTTTTGGTTTTAACATATTAAGATGTAAAAGTTTCATAAACAGCCCTTATTTTTCAGACAGATGGCCAGGCAGTATTTTATAATGGAATCAAATGATTAAACATGCTTATACTGTCCTACAGTTATTCCCAGCATTTCCAATGTATCCATCATGCTTTGAAACATGTAAGTTTTCACAAAAATCTTTTAGAAATCATTAGTAGATGTCAGTTGGCTGCCTACCAAGTTCTCACGACTTGCTCAAGATTTGCTTCAAGATGTTTAGAATAATCACCGATAGATAACACGAAGGACAGATAGGGGCTTGGTGGGGTCCAGGGGTCTAGAGTGAAGACCAGTTAGGAGGTCCTTGGAGTAGCTGCAGCCTGGCCCCCGAAGTGTGCCCACAGTCCCGGCCAGCAACAGCAACAGACAAACCCACGGGCTTCCCACCGTAACTTGCGAATTCAAATCTGCACTGAAATCTCCGATTCCCGTGTTTCAGGCTGCGGGGCACGTTAGAATTACCCGGGAAGCTTTCAAATAAATACACACTGCCCAGGCCCCGTGCTGATGAGAATCTCAGCTGCTGGGAATCTCACTGACTTTCTTCACAAGCGCTTTTGGGTTCGGGTGGCTGAGAACGGGAGCGGGAGGGAAGCTCCCCCCCGCACCCTTCCCCCAGGATGCACGTCCTCTGGGTTTGCACGGTACGCGCAGCAACGTGGGAAAAGCGCTTCCCGAGAAAGGTCCAAATATGCCCAGGCGAGAGGCCACGCCCACACGCTGGCGCTCGCCCCGCCCCTCTCCACTCGTGTGCCGTGGGTTCGCGCAGGCGCGCTGGTCGTCGCCTGGGTTGCGCCCCCCGCTGACGTCACGACGCATCGCGGAGTTCAGCCTCCAGCCTCGGCCTTCCGAGTCCCACGCGGGGCCGCGCCGGGGGCGGAGCGTCGTCTGGCGGAGCTGTTCGGTTCGACCGCGCGAATTTGAATGAATGCTCCCCAAGATGGCGACAGCCGGGGCCGGAGCGCGGAGAGGTGAGACTGGAGCGCGACCCCCACCCCACGCCGCTTCGCCCTCCCCGTACCCAGGCATGCGCCCGAGGCCCGGCCAGCGTCCCCGCCATCTCGCGGGCTAACCGCACGGCCGCCTGGTGGGACGTCGTCCTCGCTCCGCGAACACCCGACTCTCCGCCAGCTCCCCGCGCGGTGCTCAGCCTCTGCCTCACCCGGCCCCGGCCCCGGCCCCGGCCCCGGCCCGCTGCCTCCTCGCCTCCCCGGGGCCCTCGGTGTTGTGCCCTCCCCGCCCCCCCCCCCGGCCGCCCCTCCGGGTTGTGTCCCTCCCCCGGGCCGCCCCTCCGTGCCGTGTTCCCCCCCCCCCCCCCCCCCGGGTCGCCCCTCCGGGTTGGGTCCCTCCCCCGGGTCGCCCCTCCGGGTTGTGTCCCTCCCCCGGGTCGCCCCTCCGGGTTGGGTCCCTCCCCCGGGCCGCCCCTCCGGGTTGTGTCCCTCCCCCGGGCCGCCCCTCCGTGCCGTGTCCCCCCCCCCCTCGGCCGCCCCTCCGGGTTGGGTCCCTCCCCCGGGCCGCCCCTCCGGGTTGTGTCCCTCCCCTGGGCCGCCCCTCCGGGTTGGGTCCCTCCCCGGGTCGCCCCTCCGGGTTGTGTCCCTCCCCCGGGCCGCCCCTCCGGGTTGGGTCCCTCCCCCGGGCCGCCCCTCCGGGTTGGGTCCCTCCCCCGGGCCGCCCCTCCGTGCCTTGTCCCCGCCCGGTCGCCCCTCTGTGTTGTCCCCCTCCCCCGATCGTCCCTCTGTGTTGTCCCCCCTCCCCGGTCGCCCCTCCGTGTTGTTCCCCCCCCCCCGGTCGCCCCTCTATTGCCCCCCCCGGTTGTGTCCCCCCCCAGTCGTCCCTCCCTTTACGTATCTGCCCCCCCATGGTGTCGCCCCTCGCGCCCCTCTCCGTGTCGCGGCCCCCTCGCGCCGCCCCTCCGTGTCCGCCTCCCCCAGATCCCTCCCGGGCGCCCGCGGGCAGGGCTGAGGCTGTGGCTCGCTGCTGGCTGCTTTCGACTGGAAAGAGCCCGGGCCTGTAGGCGTGGGGGTCGGTGGGAGGACGGGTGCTAGGATGGGCCGGCCCCCCTCCCGCGGGGGCCACACGGGGAGGAGAGGCCCCGAGAGTGGTCATTTGTGAGTGCGACCTCTGGCTTGCCCTGAAACTTATTTTGCCCAGCAGGAACTTGGAGTTTTATTTTTTGGCAGCTGGAAAATTAACGCGTGTGTGTGTGTGTGTGTGTGTGTGTGTGTGTGTGTGTGTGTGTGTGTGATTAGGCACTCGGAAAGCTTGGAACTTTGCAGTACATTCTAGAATTCCGAGGTGTTTTTTCACCCCATTATGACTTCATTATTATTATTGTTATTTTCCCTTTTAAAATAGTACTTCTTTTAGGGATGGTGGGGTTAGTGCTAACTGGTGCAGGGATTTTTATGGTAGTGCTATTGTTTCATAAATAGTCAAGGGACATCTCGTTCTCTGTCGATACAGGCTGTTGCTTTTAAAGCCACCGTGTTTGTGTGGCCTACTCAGTTAAACTGGTCCTTTTGAGCTCTACCTGGATAGAAATCGTGGCCTTGAGCAGCGAGCCTCTTGTAGTACCTGCTATCTAGTACTACAAGGCTGAGGGCTTTGTTTGTTCCTCAAAATTGGTCTTCTTTTATGATTCACATATAAATTTTTGTTGCTATAAAAATTGTAAAGCTCAATGTGTTGATTGTCTGTGGTTGGCTTGGCATGGCCAGACCATATGACTTTGTGGGCCTATGAACTTGATGGTTCCCACCCTTGTTAGGGGCTGGACTGGCAGACCCAAGAGGTTTAAAGCACCATGATCAGAGAGCTAGCAGCCTGTTGCAGCTATGGCTTTGGAAGCCCTACTCTGGGCACTCAGGGGCTTAAGGCTGCGGGCTTTACCCAGCGGGAGCCTTTGGAAGCTATTCTATAACCCTTTGCCTCCATCAGCAGACCCAGCAAGCAGCTATCGCTGATGTATTTGCACAGGCCTTAGTAGGACCCTTCACCTTAAGCTGCAAATATTACAGCTCTTGGGCCCAGGGTGGCTAACAATTTAGCCCTTCAAGCTTGGCGGCAGCTTTCTGGAACTTTTCAGTGAGCAGGACTCTCAGTTTCTCTTCTCCAGCTTTTCACAGATCTTCCTGTCTCTTGTGTCCTCTGCTCCTGTTCATTTCTGCCTTGGCTTTCTGGAACCCTTCACCTGTCCATCACCCCTGTAGCTGCCAGGCTGATGCCACCTTTGCCACTGCTACTGCTCTGCTGCCATTTCCCCTGTCCTGCTTGTTATCAGCACAGCTCCCTCTACTAAAGACAAATCTCAAAATGAGACAAGAAAAGACTACTGGAGAAAAGCCTTTTATTGGGTCTGCTGTTGCAACACCAGCGAGCTCATGGTAGTATCTTCCAGCTGGCTCCCAGAGTGAGCTGAAAAGCCTGTTTATATGGCCAGGAAAGTGTGGCCAGGGTGCATGCACCAGCATGTAAGTACAGAGTGTGCTTGCTCAACCACAGCATTCACAGCATGACTCCATGCCCTTGTCCTGCTGCTGGTAGCCAGGGAAAGGCTCTCCCTCTGGCCAAGGTAGAAATGGCTGAAGGCTGAGAGTTCTCTGAGGCTTGTGGTGGCAAATAATAATAACAATCCTGCACAAGCTAGTTGACCTGGTTGGTACTAACTGGGACAATACACAGGGGAGCCAGAGAATACCTCATTAAGCAGTTGTAGTTGCTATGTAGATTCCTCAAGACAATGGAGGATTCAGAGCAGGTAGTCTAGCATAGTTTGGCTGCTTAACTGTGGTCTTTCACTGGAGTCAATGAAGGGTCTAACAGCTGTTCGTCACAAGGGTCAAATTATGCTAGACCCCAACAGCTTAATGAAAGGAAAAATAAAGACTAAAGGGAATGCTTATCATAATAAAGATTATTATTAGGATTATATAATTTTTTGTTTGGGGTTTTGGTTTTTTTCTGGTTCTGAGCTTGAACTCAGGGCTTGGTTGCGGTCCCTGAATTTTTTGTTTTATTTTTTGTCAGTCATGGGGCTTGAACTCTGGGCCTGGGCGCTATCCGTCAGCTCTTCAGCTCAAGGCTAGCGCTCTACTACTTGAGACACAACACCACTTCTGGCTTTTTCTGCTTATGTGATGCTGAGGAATCGAACCCAGGGCCTTATGCATGCAAGGCAAACACTACCTCTGAGCCACCTTCCCAGCCCCTGTCCCTGAATTTTGTTGCTCATGACTGGTGTTGTATCACTTTTGAGCCACAGCTGGGCTCCCAGCCTTTTTCTTTTTTGTAGTTAATTGGATAAGAGCTCCTGGCAGAAAAGTTACTTTTTAATTACGATTTTTTAAAATATATTTTAGGCCAGGTGCTGGTGGCTCACACTGTAATTCTAACTACTCAGGAGGCTGAGAGCCAAGTATCACAATTTGAAGCCAGCCTGGGCAGAAAAGTCCATCTCCAATTTAAAAACTACTCAAAAAAGCTGGAAGTGAGACCGTGGCTCAAGTCGTAGCATGCTCACCTTGAGCAAAAGAAGCTCAGAGACAGTGCCCAGGACCAGATTTCCAGCTCCAGGACCAGCCAAAAAATAAATATATATTTTTTTCAATGTACTTTTAACATTAAGTATGACCCAGAGATATGTGTTATTCAGATAGTAATTCTATGTAGAATATAATGGGAAAGTCAAAAACATTACATCATATCGACCTCTATATGTAATCTTTAGATAGCTTACAGACATGAAGGCTTTCTCACATGGTTTAATAGAAATTAACCAATAATCAGTTAAACATAGTAGGATAAAAATCTATTAGAAAGCACAAGAAAACTAATACCACAGTTCTTTAATGCTTTTTTTTGAACACACATGATTGGTTTCTTATCATACTGACTTTTAGACCAAAATTACCAGTTGAAGGGTAGAAATGTAAAGGTTTTAAGTATCTCATATTTTGTTTTAACTGAGTAGCTATTTCATTAGTAAAGAACTCTATTTTCTTATTGTAGTGTGGTGTGTTCCTTGCCTAGTTTCACTTGATACTCTTCAGGAATTATGTAGACAAGAAAAGCTCACATGTAAATCGATGGGAGTCACCAAAAAGAATCAAAACAATTATGAGGTGGAATACTTGTGTGACTACAAGGTAGAAAAGGTAAGGCAAATATCTAGATCCTTAAAAGAGACCTATTCACACTTCAGTATTTCCTATTTCTGTGACATAACGATAAATAAGGAAATAAGCAAACTCTTCTTAATGTTTCAAATTCTAGGTAGTGATTCATTGATACTGTCCCGTTACCTATTTTCCAAGTAATACTGACAGGAATTTGAAGCATAAAACGCTAACACTAGAATATATTAAGGTGCTTTTGTCCCTCTACATCCAAGTCTTATCTCCATGTGGATTACCAAAGCAAACAGTTGGTCTCTCCTTTCAGTCATTTTGTTCCTGCATTATAGCTCCCCCATGATCTCCTGAAATGAGCCTAGAATTTCAACCAATGTTAGTGTTGCTAAATGTCCTCAAGAAGCATTACCATTTGTTATTTCACACATCAGATTTTAATAGATTCAGTGGTATAACAATGTCCTGAGTTTCAAAGGCATTTGGGGCTTTTGTTTAGTACCTCACAACTGATGTCAGCAAGTTCATCTAACTTCTCTGGGTTTTCCTTTAGTCTTCTTAAGAATTGAGCTCTTCCAACTACTGAACTGTTTATCAAAATGAATACCATGGAATGGAAACAAGTTTTTGGGAAGAGGGCACAGAGGGAGGGGGCTGCAAATGATCAGTGTCACCCTTTTCATTGCTCTCCCCATCTTTCCCAATCTCATTTATCCCTTCAAGTTATGTGACTCCATTTTCACATACATACATTGAGTGCCATGATTAAATAAGAAGCTTTTTAAGATGTAAAACATGTAAAATATATTTTTCAGAAATTCATTTATAACTTCTTCTGGTGAAGAACTATCTTGGTAAATAATCTGTTTCTTCAGGTGAAGGAGTCAAGAATCCTGCTTTAACTCTGTTGTTTCTTCTGTTGAACTGTCACCAAATCTAGTTCTCCTCTAAAATGTCTATCTTTTGGTATCATTGCCTTTCCTGCTTAGTAACGCTTACATCCATTAAGCACTTTTACCTCTGCCCTCAGCATCCCTCTGCTCCTGAAACAGCCCAGCCATCCTCCAGGGCATTTACAAGCTGTGGAAAAATTCACATCACTGAGAAATCAGATGATCATACGTTTTGGCTCCTTCAAGTACTTCTATTCTCATACCTATCAATTCTACTTGACAGGGTTTTTTTTGTTTTTTGTTTTTTTGTTTTTGATTGGTTGTGGGGCTTGAACTCTGGGTTGGGTGCTGTCCCTAAGCTCTTTAGCTCAAGGCAAGCGCTCTACCACTTGAGCCACAGTGCCACTTCGGCTTTTTCTGCTTATGTAGTGCTGAGGAATCGAACCCAGGGCCTCATGCATACAAGGCAAGCACTCTGCCACTGAGCCACCTTCTCAGCCCAACAGGTTTTTTTTTAATCTATTTTATTTCCACCATTCATACCTATTTTCTCAGTATTTATTGGTTTTTCTGGATCACTTCCTCTACCCCTTGTTTTCTCATATTCAGCCGAATACTTCCTCTTCTACCTCAGTGAACAGATCTTTGAAGACTAAAGTCCTCATCTTCCCACCAGTTATCTGTATGCACTCTTCATTTTAAAGATGTGTTTTGTTTTCTTCCTATTCAATATCCTGACTTTGACCTGTGACAGTATCTTCAGTTTTTGAGAGAAAGTCTCGCTAGGCTAGCCATGCTAGCCTCTGACTCCTGGCCATCCTGCCTCAGCCTCTAAAGTGCTGAGATTAACTGACACATGCTACAATACCAACTTGGTGTCTTTTTTAATAGCAAGCTCCATTCTCACTGATTTGTCTCAATAAACATATTCAAATATTACCTTGTCCACAGAATTTTTTTATTTACTTATATTTTTTGCCAGTCCTGGGGCTTGAACTCGGCCTGGGCACTGTCCTGAGCTTCTTTTGCTCAAGGCCAGCTACTTTCAGCTTTTTCTTTATATATTGTGCTGAGGAATCAAACCTAGGGCTTCATGCATGCTAGGCAAGCACTCTTAGCAGTAAGCTACATTCCTAGCCCAGAAATCTTTTTTTATATTCCCTTACCACTCATGCAAGCATTCCTGTATTCCTATATTCACTTCCCATTACATCTTAGCATCACTGAGATGTAATTTGCATACTATCATACAATTCACATAGATAACATTTACAATTCAAAGCTTAGTATACTGAAATTAGTCATTTTAGCATTTTTCATTGTCCTAAAAAATGCCTCTTACTTTTAGTTTGTTTTTTGGATAAAATCTATGCTAACTTTGCTGTGCTTGCCTTGAACCCTGATATTCGGGCCTCAAACAATGATCCTCTTATATCTACAGTATCGGGGATCATCAGCATATGCCCACACAATTCCATTACTTTTTAACCCATTTTTGATTTGTGCTCTTTTCATTGACCTTCTAATGTCAAGTTTGAAGGCCTCAAGTCTTTCCACATTCAACACTGTTGCTCCATTTTCCTCATTGAAATTCTTGTCTGTGGCTCAAATTCTAGCTTTCTCTCTGTCCTTCTGCTTCTTTGTCTATAAAATAGAGTAACATTGCCATCTCACAAGGTATAATTAACATGAAATGAGTTAGTATAAAATACCTAGAATAAGACAGTGACATTTGGTGATTATGTCAGTGTTTACTATCATTAGCCTGTATCAGTACTCCTTTTTTTTTTTTTTTTACCAGTCCTGGGGCTTGCACTCAGGGCCAGGGCTTTGTTCCTGAGCCTCTCAGTGATCAAGGCTGGCACTCTACCACTTGAGCCACAGCACCACTTCTGGCTTTTCCTGTTTATGTAGTACTGAGGAATTGAACCCAGGGCTTCATGCATGCTAGGTGAGCACTCTACCACTATGCCACATTCCCAACCCTGTTTTTGTTTGGTTAATTGAACTGAAGACCTTGTATTTGAAATCAGGCACTCTATCTCTTAAGACACACTCCCAGTGTGTTTTTTTGCATTTATTTTGAAGTGGGCCAGCCTTCCTTCTTCCTTCCACTGTTCATTGAGGATGACAGGTATGCACCACTGCACCCAGCCATTTGTTAAGATGGAATCTCATTTGCTTGGGCTGGCTTCAAACTGTGTTCTCTCTTTCCTGTCTCCCACATAGCTAGGATTACAATTTCCAATGTTCTTTACAAATCTTGTACTGTCTTCTATCCAACCTTTCTCTGAAATGTAGATAATTTCCAAGGTTCTATGCTTGGCCTTCTTCTCACTTTGTAGTTGCTGTCTGGGTGACCTCTTTCCTAATGGCTTCTGCTTATACCAGTTTGTCTCATGACACCCAAATCTTTCTATGACCTTCACCTCTTTCGAGGCTCCATTTCAGGTACAGTTGCCCAAGTTCAACATGGTACCCATTTTAAGACTGCATTCCTAAGTCTGTCTGTAATCTTTGCTATTCAGGATGGCTTTGAACCATGATGCTCAGATCTCAGCTTCCTGAATAGCTAGGATTACAAGCATGAGCTACTAGCACCTGGCTTGTTTAAAGGTAAAATTTATGAATATTTGATTTGTAGTTGGGGTAGTAGGATTCTGCAATCAAGGAGCTACATCTAGAAAAGTATGAGTTTCTGATTTGCATAGAATTGGTTTAAATATTATTATTGTTCAAGATCCAAGAATATTAGAGAAGGAAATTGGATCTGAGGGAAATAACTTGAGTACACTTTTAAGTAAAGGTGAAAATATGGCTCCAAATCAAAAGTGAGATGTAATTAGAAAAAGAGACCTTGAAATAATTGTCAAAAAGATAAAGATTGAACTCCTGGGAATGGGTAAATTTACCCATTTGTTATCTCAACAGTTATTTATTGGCCATCTGCCGTGTCTTGCACTAGGAACTAGGAATCTCAGCATTAAAGGACATGAGTATAGGGCATGATAATATGGAGTTTATAAGATAACGAAATTCTGAGAGAATTAAGTGCTTATACCAAGTACTCTATTATAGTTGAGGTGAGTGCTTCTATAACCTAAGGATCTAACTTATTCCATTAAGGATACTTAGGCCTAAAGAATGAAGGTAAGTGGATTGGATCTTGATACAGAATCTTCAAGGAATAGCAAGTGTCAATAGTCGACAAGAAGAGAGTGAGATGAGCTATAGAATTGATGTGACTTGGGAAATGCAACTTCTCATAGGCAATCGAGACTGCAAGGAGCTATGTAGTAGCTTTAAGCAGGGAAATGACATGATGAGATGCATGTGCTGAGAATATTACTCTGGCTGTTGTACTGTGAATTGGTGAAGTGGTAAATGACCATCTAAGTAAAGCAAATGAGAACAAGAGAAAATGAATCCTGAAGGACAACAAGAAATACTTGCAGGAAGAACTGTCAGAAGAGGTTGAAGCAAGCTGGCAGGAAAGGTAGTCCTTCCTGCAAGAGGAGTAAAGCTTCATCTCTTCTCACAAACTGCTTGTAGTTTAAATTAGAAACGAGAACACATGGTTGACAGCAGTTCTTTTGGGGCAAGAGGAATAGGAAGGATTTCACAGAGAGGTGACATTTGGGTTGGGGTGTGTGGCTCAAATGGTATGGTCTGTCTAGTAATTAGGAGCACCTGAGTTCAAACCCCAGTGCCATTACTGTCACAAATAAAAGAACCAGCTGTAGTATTTGACCTGTTTTAAAAGATGAACAGGTTACATCTAAAAGGATGAGACTGAAATACATGTTCACTGAGTGAAAGGCCAATTTAATTGGGTAATTAGAAAAGAAGCAAATAGTCTGGAATGTTAAACTATAAGCAGTACTTCAGGATGGCTACAGGTTAGTTTATTAACGATTCTATAACGCCAGATTGAGCCATAGAGGCACCAGGGGCCTTGTTTTCTAGACAAGGTATCCCTGTGTTGTTCAGGCTGGTAACAGACTTGTGAGCTCAAGTCCCATAGCCTCCAGGGTAGCTGAGACTTAACAGGTATGAACTACCACCCTACTAAGGAAGAGTTAGGGGATTTTGTTTTACAGTGTTTAGGATCTAACCCAGGACCTTGAACATGCTAGGCAAGTGCTGGAACAGTGAGCTACATCCCCATTTCAGAAAAGCTTTCTTCATTTTAATAGGAAATTTGGAACCATATTTTGTAAGCAATAGTGGAACTATTAATAATTTTCAAGTAAGAAAACAAAGAGTACCTAGTTTTGTGGATTAAAGTGGTCAGTTTGAAGGCAGGAAATTTGTTTAGAAAATTAATGCAATAATCTAGATAAGATAATCTAGGCAAGAATTGAAGCCAGAAGTAACTAAAGCTACAGTAACAGAGATGGATAGGAAGAAGCCCTCCTTTAATGAAACTGATGAATTGGACTGGGAGAAGGAATAGGCCCCTGGATGCCTGTGTGGCTCAATTTCACATTACAGTATCATTGATAGACTGTCCTGTAGCTATACTGAATTACTGCTTGTACTTGAACATACTAGACCATTTCCTCCTTCTGCTTCCATGTCACAAATTTCTCCCTAATTAGAATGACACCTCTCAGTTTGCCTAGTGAACACTTCCTTATTTCAGTCTCATCTAAATCCCTTTAGGAAGTACAGTGGTGAATTCCGTCTAGATTACTCTAAGAACCTGTTGTACATCAAGTAGGCTGTTAGAATTGGGTGTTTGTAGGTAGTGTTGGGTGTCATCAACATAACTTATAGTCTAAACCATTGGAGTGGTGCTGTTGCCAGAGAGAGTATTTAGCACAGTACTTCTTAACATGGAACTCCAAATTCTGAAACTATCTAAAATGTTATATATGTGACATTGGTTGTGGAACAGTATATAGTATTCATCAGATGGTAAAATGAGGATAAACACTTTAGTGCAAAAGGCATCCAAGGACAGTCCAGATTAAATGGTAGACAGAAAGTGGTCTGGAGGGGGGGGGGGGCGGGTGGACACAAGGAGCCCTGTGTGGTGGCTCACACTTATAATCTTTGCTACTCAGGAGTTTGAGATAAGGAAGATTATGATTTGAGACCAGTCCAGGCAGAGTTTGCAAGAACCATCTCAATAGAACTGTGATGATGTGTACTTCTCATCCCAGCTATACAAGAAGCATAAATAAGATCACAGTCTAGGTTGCCCTGTCTCAAAAATGACCAAAGCAAAAAGGGTTAGAGGTGTGGCTCAAGTGGTAGAACACCTGTCTGGCAAGCAGTCCCTGAGTTCAAATATTATTCACACACACACACACACACACACACACACACACACACACACACACACGCAAGTTGGAAAGGAGAATGAAGAAGAAATTTTGATATTCCAACTTTAGGACAAGTAGGTCCTACTTTGGTGGTGGTGGTGGTGGTGGGTGTTTCTGAAGTTTTTAACTCAAGGCCTGGGTGCTGTCCCTGAGCTGTTTTGCTCAAGGCTAGTGTTCTACTTCTTTGAGCTACAGCTCCACTGCCAGTTTTCTGGTGATTAATTGGAGATACGAGTCTTACAGACCTTCCTGCCTGAGCTGGCTTTTTGAACCAAGATCCTAGGATTTCAGCCTGAGTAATAATTAGGATCAGAATGGTACACCACTAGCCAAAAATCTGGCAAGCAAGCACACAGAGCAGGCCTGCTGCTCCCTTTTTAATCTCTAACTCAGCAAAGCCCCACCCCTCTGCTCACATTGGCTGAGCTCAGGTTCACCATCTGCAAAAGGATGCAGCTTAATTAACAGGATGCAGCTTAATTAACAGGATGCAACTAAAATTTAAGGAATTTCTAACAGGATGTTTTAATGAAAGTGCTCAGGAAAAGGATATATGTAACTAAAGTGAAATTAACAAGGGCCCATGGGCCAAAGCAGACACTTTTCAGAAAAACAATTCTTACAAGATTGACAGAAAGGAAGCAAACTACTTTAATAGAAAAGAGCTTTTCTCACACTTCAAACTTTGATCCTCATGATCCTCATTCAACCTCCAGAGTAGTTTGGATTACAGGCGTGAGCCACCAGTGCCCAGCAACTTGTATAAATCTTATCCCTAAACTAATATTTATACAAGTTGTTGGACAGTATTGTGCAGTATTCCTTACATAAGTTCAGTCTTTCATGGAGTAGTTTGTTCTACTTCTCTTTTCTGGTCATCTGTCCTACATTTACTTTTCTCTTTCTCTTTTACTGTAATTGACTGTCTTAAAGTATTTTGACATTTAAATATATCTCAAGTTTCTATCCCACACGTTGCCTGTTCTCCCAATGAGATTTTACTACTATAATGCCCTATATTTCATCATGCTTCCTACTGAGCAACCTTTCAAGTACTTAGTAGAAATATTAGACTGTGTGATTTAATTGAGCTTATGTCAAATGCAGTAGAATCTAGTGTCTTAAAGAAGAAATGCATAACTGCATTCCAAATTACACAGGGGTAACTTATGGTTCACTTCACCACTTCACTGTATTCCATTTCTGTAGGTAATACAGAGTTGCTTACAGATAAGAATAAGATACTGATATAATAGATAAGCCTAGGAGTTGTGAAGTTTTATTTGGAATTTTAGGTTATTGAATTTGTTTCATAAAGTCAGTGATTTTTCTGGGTAAAAACTATCTTTTCAAAATGGAAATGCCATTTTTTAATTTTAAAGATAAAAATCTACAAGCCCAAAATAAAACGTTTTTTGTGCTATTTTGTGCCATTTTCCAAAACATTTACATTTTTATGTATATTTATTATCCATAAGTTACATAGTTACTAATATGATTTACAATAAAACTTAGTCACTTAAAGTACAAATGACTTAAATAACCACTACTGTGTACTATTTGGGACTACTGTGTACTATTTGGGAAATAAACTTGAGTGACATATTTTTAGTTTTTCTAGATGATAATTTATCATGTGACTTAAAGCCATTGTTTCCTTTTCTTTCATGGATTTTCTGGCAACATTTATTTGGCATAGTTCAGGGCAATGGTAGGAAAAAAAGTATAGCAATAAAACCAGGACCAAGGTTACATTGCTTTTTTGTGGCATCAGAAAAAAAATTAAATTTAGAATTAAGAAGAATAGAAGGGCTGGGAAGTTGGCTCAGTGGTAGAGCACTTGCCTTGCATGCCTGAAGCCCTGGGTTCAATTCCTCAGCACCACATAAGCAAAAAGAAAAAACCCGGAAGTGGTGCTGTGACTCAAGTGGTAGAGCGCTAGCCTGGAGCTGAAGAGCTGAGGAATAGCGCCCAGGCCCAGAGTTCAGGCCCCATGACCGGACCCAAAAAAAAAAAAGAATAGAAGTCTTAAGATCTATCGTAGTGTAAAAGTACCAAATTATGAGAGACAGTTTTAAGCTTTAAGCCCAATTTGACAAATATTTTAGTGTGCCCTAGACTTATTGCTGTATATTTCCAATATGGATTTTGTATATATCTTCAGACAATATTTTTAACACATTTTAACAGAAGAAAGCATATATTGCATTCAGTTTTGAAAGTGAAGCAGAGTTCTTTCATACGAATAATTGCTTGTTGAGTAGAATGTGAACAAGTCCTGGGTTTCATCCCTAGCACCACATGTGCTCATGCACGCACGCGCACACACACACACACACATTACATATAATTTCATGTGTGGAATACATATATGTGTATATGTGTATGTATACAATTTCAGCATGCAGTTAGTATGTTTTAAGTCAGGTGTTTTCCTTTTTCATATTATGTCTTTGAAATTCAATGTGTATTATACTTAAAGCACATTTCAATTGAGTATGTTAGCCCCACTTCAGGTTCTCCATAGTGCTACATTGTGTAGCAGTGACTTGGACAACGAATGCTGAGAATATTTAAAGAATATCTGACCATGACATCAGGAAATATAAGTTCCCTAATGTCCAGTGACCAGCATGAAGTTATGATCATAAAGAACCACCTGCATCCGAGTGGGCCAAACGAGACATCAGCCTAGGAGTTAGTGAGCTTTGGACCATCTCTTTCCACAATCAAGCTAAATACTTTTTTTGTTTAGCCTAATTTACTATTTAGGAAAGTATTTGTGAATTTCAGTGCCTTTATCTTTCTCCAGGTAAGATACTTCTCACCTGTTAGCAAACATGTTGTACTATATCTAAATTCTGTATTTTACATAACATAAGGGCAAGTAGTTTTATTTGTATGATTTGTACTTGCTATCTGTCAGGAACTTGTGAACATGTACATACTCTAAACTTTTTACTAAGAAAAATGGTGATATCTCATTTTTTCAAGTAATTGACACAGTCATAATCTGATTTGCATTTTCTTTTATATTTTAAGGATATGGAATATTATCTTGTAAAATGGAAAGGATGGCCAGATTCCACAAATACTTGGGAACCTTTGCAAAATCTCAAGTGTCCATTACTGCTTCAACAATTTTATAATGACAAGCATGACTATTTATCTCAGGTAAAGAAAGGCAAAGCCATAATTCCCAAAGACGACCACAAAGCTTTAAAACCTGCTGTTGCTGAGTATATTGTGAAGAAAGCTAAACAAAGACTAGCTCTGCAGAGGTGGCAAGAAGAACTCAACAGAAGCAAGACTCATAAAGGAATGATATTAGTTGAAAATACTGTTGACTTGGAGGGCCCACCTTCAGACTTCTTCTACATAAATGAATACAAGCCAGCCCCCGGGATCAATTTAGTCAGCGAAGTTACCTTTGGTTGTTCATGCACAGATTGCTTCCATGAGAAATGCTGTCCTACGGAAGCTGGAGTTCTTTTTGCTTACAATAAGAACCAACAAATCAGAATCCCACCTGGTACCCCCATCTATGAATGCAACTCAAGGTGCCAGTGTGGACCAGATTGTCCCAATAGGATTGTACAAAAAGGCACGCAGTATTCACTTTGCATCTTTCGAACTAGCAATGGCCGCGGCTGGGGTGTGAAAACCCTTGTGAAGATTAAAAGGATGAGTTTTGTCATGGAGTATGTTGGAGAGGTATATTCAGTTTACTGCATAACAATATTTAAGGTTTATACCTGGTTCTGCAGCAACATAAATATTTCATATGTCTTTGTATTATCATTTGTAGATATATAGGAGCTCATTTTCAGGTTTAGGAGAAGGGTTCACTAGCATGATGAGAAATATTGTTTTATGTGCAAAAAATAGAGTCATCTTTCAACAAACATCCATATTCATTGAGCACAGATGCATATTTTTTAAAATATAATGTCTGTCTTTCCATACACGTCATAAGAAAATCCTAAACACATTCTGACTTTGAAATTAGAAGGCATAATTTACCTCACTCATTTGGCCAAATAATGGTTAAGTTTATTAAATACTCTGAATCAACATAATGTTATCTAATAGACCAGTGGTTTATGAGTATTATAAAATATACATTCATGTATCCATAAGAAAAATCTCTTTATAACTCAGCCACTTTGAATTACAAACCATTTTGTAAATTGTCAGATACTAGCAAATTTACTTTTATATGTATGCATATAACTATATGTATGCACAACTATAAACTAGTATTTCTCATGTGCCACCATACTCTTGTAATAAGCACCATATTTTACGAGTTCTCTCAATTCTAAAGAAACTGTGGTACAGAGAAATTGAGTAATTTGCTCAAGGCCAATTGAGTAATAAGCCTCAGTAGAAAACAAGAGGCAGGATTCAAAACTCCAGAATTATTCTTTTCATTGCACTACAGTATCTTGAACTGAATGATGGTTAAGCTGTGACAAAGATAACAAGGGTCACCATTTCTGGGATTATCTGACTGGTTACTTTGATTCTTTGAAATTGAGTCATGTTTAATTATCTCTATTAATCTAGAATTTTGAAATGAAATCCCTGCTTTGAATCTTTTTTTCTCATACTTAGAAATTACCAGATCTTATATGATCTCATTTTTTAACTTTTTTTTATTATTATTACCTTTAACTAGTTATACAAAGAAGTTCCCATTCTACAAAACAGTATATGAATACAAGGTGTCTGACAACATTGTCATCCATTGCTCCTAATCCTTCCCTTCTCCCACTTTTTTTTAAAATTGAGATTAGATGATTACATAAATTTCACATATTTCACAGTATTGTGGAATAGTGATAGTTAAAGTCACAACCACATTTTAACCTTCACAAGGCAAATTATCATTATCATGGTCTATAAAGTTTGTGAATTCTATGAGCTGTGACAATACAAATTATTTCTTCCACATCAGGTGATGTTTACATTTCTTTCCTTTTGCTTAGTGTAGGCTGTTCCCTCTTCCCCGCTCATTCCTCCCTTCCCATCACTGTCTTTGGGTTGCTTACTACTTTTGCTTCTATGTCCAGTGCAGCTGATGGGCCCCTTGGTTGTATATTGTTCTGTTTCCCACTTATTCTGTTCCTCCTCCTGGCTTCCCCCTGTTGTGTGTATATATCTACCATATATATGGACAAGAACATGGAGTCATTTAGTGATGGTAAGACAAAATGAGTGGCTGTCCTTTGTTTCTTGAGCCCTGTTTGCTTTTCATATCTTCTTGCATTTTGGCTTAAGCATCCACATATCAGGGAGACCATGTGCCATTTGTCAATCTATTCTTGGCTTACCTTACCTCCGGGCACCCGTGTAATCCTAGCTGTTCAGGAGGCTGAGATCTGAGGATCAGCAGTTCAGAGCCAGCCCGGGCAAGAAAGTCCATGAGACTCTTATCTCCAATAAACCACCAGAAAACCGGAAGTGGCACTGTGGCTCAAGTGGTAGAGTGCTAGCCTTGAGCTGAAGAGCTGAGGGACAGCGCCCAGGCCCAGAGTTCAAGCCCCATGACTGACAAAATAATAATTTGCTCTGGTTCCATCCATTTCCCTGCAAATGCCATTATTTTGTCCTTTCTAATGGCTGCATAATATTCTATTGTATATAGGTACCCAGTTTTTGGATCCCCACTCATCAGTAGTGGGGCATCTGGGTTGTTTCGAAATCTTGGCTATTATGAATAGTGCTGCAATAAACATGGAGGTGCATGTGTCTTTGTATACTGGTTCCTGTTGTTCAGGGTAGATGCCTAGGAGTGGTATGGCTGGGTCATAGGGGAGGTCTATATTTAGCTTTCTGAGGTACCTCCAGACTGCTTTCCAAAGTGGTTGTATAAGTATACATTCCCACCAGCAATGCAGTAGGATTCCTCTTTCTCCGCATCCCCTCTAGCATTTGTCTTTGGCTGAATTTAGGATGTGGGCCATTCTGACTGGGGTAAGGTGGTATGTCAGTGTTGTTTTTATTTGCATTTCCTTTACAGCCACGGATGACAAACATTTCCTCATGTGTTTCTTTGCCATTTTTACCTGTTCTGAGAAGTCTCTCTTTAGTTCCCTTGCTCATTTCAAGATTGGTTTGTTAGATTTGTGAGGGGTTAGTTTCTTGAGTTCCCTGTATATAATAGATATTAGACCCTTGTCTGATATATTGCTGGTAAATATTTTTTTCCCAATTAGTTGACTTTCTTTCTAGTTTGGTTGCTATTTCTTTATCTGTGCAAACCCTTTTTATTTTAAGGTAGCCCCATTTATCAAGTCTCTCTCCAATTTGTGACACTGGGACTCTTGTTCAGGAAGTTCCTGCCTGTGCCTATAAGTTCAAGTGTCTCTCCTATTCTGTCCTGCAGTAGTTTCAGAGTATCAGGCTCCTTTGTCAAATATCAACTGACTATACATATGCAGCTTTATTTCTGGGTCCTCTAATCTATTCCATTGATCTTCGGGTCTCTTTTTGTGCCAGTACCAAGCTGTCTTTGTTATTATGGCTCTTTAGTAGAGCTTGAAGTCCAGTATCGTGATCCCTCCTGCATTTTTTCTTATGCCTAGAATTGTTTTGGCTATTTTAGGTCTTTTGTTGTTCCATATGAATTTTTGGACTGTTTTCTCTACTTCAGTCATTGGAATTTTAATGGGAATTGCATTGAATGTATATATCAATTTTGGCAGTATGACCATTTTCATTCTGTTAATTCTGCCTATCCAGGAACATGGGAGGTCTTTCCATTTCCTGGTATCCCCTATGATTCCTTTTTTTAGGCTTTTATAAGTTTTCATGAAATAGACTTTTTACATCTTTGATTAGGTTAATTCCTAGATACTTTATTTTTTTTTTTGAGCTTATTGTGAATGGAGTTGTTTCCTTGATTTCCCTTTCTGCTTGTACATTGTTGGTGTACAGAAAGGCAACTGATTTTTGTGTGTTAATTTTGCATCTTGATACTTTGCCGAAGTGGTTTAAGCTCTAAACATTTGGGGATGGAGCTTTGGGGATCATTAAGGTATAAAATCATGTCATCTGCAAAAAGAGATAGTTTAACTTCTTCCTCCCCTATGTGGATCCATCCCTTTAATGTCTTTTTCTTGCCTTATTGCTCTGGCTAAGGATTCCAGAACTATATTGAGGAGTGGAGACAGTGGGCATCCTTGCCTTGTTCCTGTTTTTAGGGGAATTGGTTGTAGTTTTTCCCCATTAAGTATAATACTGACTGTTGGTTTGTCATGTAAGGCTTTTATTGTTTTATGGAATATTCCTTCTATTCCTATTTTTTCCACAGCTTTTAACATGAATGAGTGCTGTATTTTATCAAAAGCCTATTCTCGGTCAATGGAGATAATCATGTGGTTCTTGATCTTGGATCTGTTGATGTGATAGATTACACTTATTGATTTACGTATGTTAAACCATCCCTGCATCTCTGGGATGAAGCCTACTTAGTCATAATGTATGATTTTTTTTTATGTTTCTGGATTCTGTTGGCTAGAATTTTATTGAGGAGCTTTGCATCTGTGTTCATCAAAGAGACTGGTCTGTAGTTCTCTTTTTTTTTGTTGGGTCTTTGCCTGTTTTGGGGATGAGTATGACAATCTCATTTCTTTTTTCTTTTTTAAATTTTGGCTGAGGCTGGGTACTAGTGGCTCATGCTTGTAATCTTAGCTACTCAGGAGGCTGAGATCTGAGGATCACAGTTCAAAACCAGCCTGGGCAGGAAAGTCCATGAGACTTCAGTTAACCACCAGAAAACCGGGAGTAGACCTGTGGCTCAAAGTGATAAAGCATGAGCCTTAAGTGCAAAGCTCAGCGACAGTGCTCAGGAACTGTGTTCAGGCTCCACAACTGACCAAAAAAAAGAAAAGAAAAAGAAAATATGTACTGAATGAAAGCAGCAACTAGATTTGGTTGATAGATTTTTGGTTTCTTGAGCTGTTTTTATGATAAAGCTAGGTTCTTAAGAGCAGAATTCTAGATGACATTTTCCCTCTGTAGCACTGGGATTGTACCCAGGACCTCACACATGGTACGCAGATGCCCTACCACTGAGTTATATCCCTAGCTCCTGCATATTTATCCTAGCTTCTCTCCTGTATTGTAACATACTTCCATTTATAACTGCATAGAGATTGGTTATAGGAAAACAATACCTTCAGAGCACATTTGGAACACATACTCATAAATGTAGTACTCTTCAGTTATAGGCTGCAGAGAGCTATAGTTGTAAAGGGTATTGAATGGCCCTAATCATAATAAAAGTAGTGCTTTTATGCTTCTACATATTCATTGTCCCATGTTTTATTTAACAAATTATTTTTTCCCCACTTCAAAAATAACTCTTAGAAGCTGGGCACCGGTGGCTCACGCCTGTAATCCTAGCTATTCAGGAGGCTGAGATCTGAGGATCATGGTTCAAAGCCAGCCTGGGCAGGAAAGTCCGTGAGACTCTTATCTCCAATAAACCACTAGAAAATTGGAAGTGGCACTGTGGCTCAAGCAGTAGAGCGCTCACCTTTAGTTGAACAGTGCAGGGACAGCGCCCAAGCCCAGAGTTCAAGCTCCACGACCGACCAAAAAAAGAAAAAAAAAAAAGCTTTTAGTTTTTTTGTGAACATTTGTTTTGATGACACTTGAATTTTTCAGTAAACATTTTTAGGCAATATATATTTTTAGGCAATGAATGTTTCTTAAGATCAGCAGTAATAAAAAACCATAACATAAAGTGCTATGGTTTTGCTGGTATGATGTGACCGGGAGTCCCAGCTGCTGAGGAGGCTGAGGTGGGAAGATCACTTGAGCTCAGGAGTTTGAGAACAGTCTGAGAAACATAGAAAGATTTCTCTGTCTCAAAAAAATAAAGAAGAAAAAAAACTATAGTAGCTTTTTCTCCTTAGGTAATCACAAGTGAAGAAGCTGAAAGACGAGGACAGCTCTATGACAACAAAGGAATCACATACCTCTTTGATCTGGACTATGAATCTGATGAATTCACAGTGGATGCAGCTCGCTACGGAAATATTTCCCATTTTGTGAATCACAGTGTAAGAAATACTTATAGACAAGACCAATTCAACTTGGTCCTGTTTTTTAATAACTTTTCCATAAAGGATAAGTACCTTTAAAACTATAAACTCTTCCCAAGTATTGTAATATTAAGGGCCTCTTCTGCTATGCCATGGTTTACTGCTGTTCTAGCAAGGTAAACATCAAGGTGCTTAGAAGACCATGTTTTGGTTGGGTATTGTAGTTCACATCTGTAACCCTAGCTATTCAGGAGGTAGAGATTGGGTCAGATCACTGTTGAGGCCAGCCCAGGCCAAAAAAAAATTTGCAAGGTATCTTAACCAATAAATGCTGCCTGCCATCCCAGCTATGTAGCAAGCATAAATGTGAAACTGATTTGGGCATAAACCTGAGACCCTGTCTGGAAAATAGTAAAAGGAGAAAGGGCTGGTGGTGTGGCCCAAGGGATAGAGTGCCAGAAAAACCCAACGTGTTTGCACGAGTCTTAGGTTAGTTCATGTTAATGTTCTAACAATAAAGTAAATACTATCACCACATCAGAGGAGGAAGTGAAGTAAAATGTTTATGCAAGAGTCTAATCATGTTTTAGGGAAGCTGACCTGGTGAACTCTTAGACCATTTTCCCTTCCTTCCCATAGTTTGTTATTGATGTCAGTTGCCAATGCTCAGTGGAAAATTTAAATAATTGATAAATATTCAGTTACATGCCATTCTGAAAGATGAGCTCTGTCACTGTTCAATGTCACCCTATCTATAATGTGAGTCAGCTCTCTGTCCGGCATGTCCACACTGTATAAACCTACACACTTGTTAGTCTCTAGCTCACTGGGTTAACTGTCAAAGTATCACAGTGCTTGTCTTCAAAGGGCCCTTATTTTACTTAAGTTAGCCTCACACAAAGAGCACTGATATAAGCAATTTGGATATGCAAAAAAGGTGAAGAGTGTTTCTAAAGGAGAAAAGACAACTTGATTTTGAGGGACACATCACAGTTGCTTAATTTTATTATAGTGTTAGTCACACTATTGTTAGTCTCTTACTGTGCCTAATATGTAAGTTCATTTTATTGTAAGTATAGTACATAATAAGCATTTGGCATTATGTGCAGTTCAGGCATCCACCCAGGGTCACGACTGTGCAGCTGAATATAAATGTAGTTTCTTAGAATGTGAACATGTTATGTATATAATTAAGGGTTTGTGGAGTATAGAAAGCATTTAGGATCAGTTTTCCAAATTATTAGCATTCCTTAAATGTTTAATTCACACTTGAAAGAACTTAAGAGTTGTAATCCTAACAGAATCTTATATTCTAGGTGCTAGGTAGAGAAGCAATGTGTTCAATATGAACTCTATTTTATAGCTAATATAGATAATAAAATTCACCTAGGAGTAAAGTTAGCTGACTTTATAAAGATGTAATCATGTTAAAACTTCTGGTTGATGGCATACCAAGAAACTGGTGTGTGATTTAGCAATGAGATGTAAGAAACTTAACTGCATTTTTAGTCTTTAAACTTCTTAAAGTTTGTTTGCTGGGGCAGGGAATTAGTGGTAGAGTGCTTGCCTAGCGTGCATGAAACCCTGGGTTCAATTCCTCAGTACCACATACACAGAAAAGGCTGGAAGTGGCACTGTGGTTTAAGTGATAATAGTGCTAGCCTTGAGCAAAAGAAGCTCAGGAACTGCTCAGGCCTGAGTTCAAGCTCTAGGCCTGACAAAAACAAAAGTTTGTTTGCTATTTAAAGAACTGGGGTTTGAATTCAGGGCCTCATGCTTGCTAAACAGGCATTTTACTACTGAGCTACACCTCCAGTCTTTTTTGCCCTGGTTATTTTGAGATAGGTTCTCACTTTTAGCCCATGTCTGTATGTGGGCCATGATCTATATTATACTTTCTGTAATAGCTAGATGACAGGTATGCACCACCATACCCGCTTCTGTTGAGACAAAGTCTCACACATTTTTTCCCCCCGTGCTGGCCTCAGCCTCCTACATAACAGGATGACATACATTATACCATGCTGAGCTATTGGTTGACATCTCATGAACTGGTTGAGAAGGCTAGCCTCGAACTATAATCCAGTCCATCTTACAGTGGCTTAAGATGAGCCACTGTACCATACTGGCTAAAACTTTTTTCTTAATAAACTTGAGGTGCAGTAATCCTTTAGTATCTCAGGATTGGCTTCAGGATTCTCTGCAGGCACCAAAATACTTCAATGCTCCAGTAGCTTAAATAATACTACTATAGTATTTGACTACAACCTGCACATTTTCTCTTATTCTTTAAATCATGACTAGATTGCTAATAATATAAGTAGAGGGTTGCTATTGGTTGCACTCTATTATTTAGGGAATACTGGCGAGAGAAATCAGTTTGTACATGTTCAGTACAAGTATCATTTTTACACATTTTAATTCATTTTTATTGAATCTGAAGGTAACTGGATACAGAACTCAAAGATAGCCACCTCCCAACATAAATATATTATTAATTAACTAATATATTATTATTAAACACTTGTTTTGATTTCTCTATATAATTCCCTAATCTCTCTACTTGCATATTCCATACGGTAGTATACAGTTCTCAAAATGTTGAACAGATCTAAATAAATATTTAAGCAGTAAAACTCTGTGACATAAAATTTGAATCAAAATAGTTACAGATTAAACAATAATGTTAATTTGGACTTGTACTAAAAGTCTCCAGAGTAAAATGAGACTAGATGAACAAGATTGGCAGACCCATTAATAGTTAAGCTGCATAGTTGTATTTACAGAATTACTGCATTATTTTCCCTCATGTGTATCTAAAGTTTCTATAAGTGAAAACTATTTTTGAAGATGCATTCCATGATAAACAACTTAGCCCACAGAACTTTAAAAATGAATGCTCTGAGGGCCGGGAAGGTGGCTCAGTGGTAGAGTGCTTGCCTTGCATGCTTGAGGCCCTGGGTTCGATGCCTCAGCACGACATAAGCAGAAAAAGCCAGAAGTGGTGCTGTGGCTCAAGTGGTAGAGCACTAGCCTTGAGCTGAAGAGCACAGGGACAGTGCCCAGGCCCAGAGTTCAGGCCCCACGACTAACCAAAAAAAACAAAAAAAATACTCTGAGCTGGGCTCCAGTGGCTCACACCTGTAATCCTTGCAACGCAGGAGGCTGAGATCTTTAGGTCAGGGTTCAAAGTCAGCTTGGGCAGGAAAGTTCATGAGATATCTCCAGTTAAGCACCAAAAAAGGTCAAGTGTGGGGTGCTAGCTCAGGGATAGCACCCAGGCCCTGAGTTCAAGCTCTAGAATTGGTACAAAAAAAAAATACCGGTAAGTTGAAATTTTTGTGTATGGCATGTAAAAGAGCTCCTTGACATCACTTTCACTTACATGGCTCTCCTGTTCCTCTTTTAGTGTGACCCAAATCTTCAGGTGTTCAATGTTTTCATTGACAACCTTGATACTCGTCTTCCCCGAATTGCATTGTTTTCCACAAGAACCATACATGCTGGAGAAGAGCTGACTTTTGATTATCAAATGAAAGGTATGGTTTTCAAGTATAGTTTTATTGGTGTTCATTTCAGTATGAGGAAGTATATCTAAGACCTTAGATTACCCCAACCAAATTAATATAAATGAAACAAATTGCCAGGTACCAGTGGCTCACACCTCTAATCCTAGTTACTCAGGAGTCTGCTATCTGATATCCCAGTTGAAAGTTAGTTGGAGTAGAAAAGTCCAAGAGACTCCAATTAACCAGTATAATTCTGGACTGAAGGCATGGTTCAAGTGGTAGAGTGCTAGGAGTGAACAAGCCAAGTAAGAGTATATATAAGGCCTGGCCACTGGCACCAAAAAAAGAAAAAAAAAAGATGAAATCAACTGAGGCTGTAAGACTTTGTTACCTTACATAAGGTCCAAAGTTCATCTGGTGGCTAGAGCTAGAGGCGAAATCTGGTTGACTTGGCTAGGGAATGAATGGTCTTTCTTACATACCACATTGCCTACTGATTTGTTTTCAAAACTTCCATTTTGGAAGTTACTGCAGCAACTTTCTCAATGCCACTTGTATTCATATGCCCTCATCTGTGAAGATTTACTAAGATATATATATATATATATATATATATATATATATATATGTGTGTGTGTGTGTGTGTGTGTGTATGTATGTGTATATATACATATGTATGTATGTATATATATGTATGTATTCACAAGATTCAAAGTATGATTTTAAATGACATGTGAACCTACTCCTCCTTGAACCTGACTTTTGAGAGAACATTTAATGCTATTTGCTTGATTGTAACAATGGGAATATTTCCTTTCCTCTGTTTCTCTAAGAATGATGACCTTCACATATGATTGCTGTGCTGTCAGGAAAAAGGGGTTTTCTGTTGGATTTTCTCATAAATTTCACATCACGTAGCCACTCCCACAAGGATAGCCAAGTACCAGTTGTACCTCTTACTAGCTCATCCTTAGAAAACAATTCATATCTATCTCAGAATATCCACATTTATAAATACAAAGGGTATTAACTTACTCTAATGGTATTGAGTGATGATGTTGAGTTTGTTACCTTAAAAGAACATTTTAAGTGCATTCTAGTCAGCTCTCTCCTCTTTTCTTTTCTCTTTTTTTTTTTTTTTTTTGTCTTTTTCCTGCATATTCAGGTTCTGGAGATATATCTTCAGACTCCCTTGACCATAGCCCTGCCAGAAAGAGGGCCAGAACTGTATGCAAATGCGGGGCAGTGACCTGCAGGGGTTACCTCAACTGAGATTTCAGGAAGGAGACCTGATGAGAACCGTATTTTATTCCGTAATGTTCATATTTAAAGCATTTGAGACTCTTTGATATTATCAAGATTATTCCTGTTAATTTAAAGTCCATTATTTCAAGACATTTGCCAAAATCATCACTGTTGATTCTGAAGAGGACTCAGGGTCACAAAGACTGATTTCTAACTTGAAGTATATGTATTTGGTGATTAGAAACCAAACGTGGAAGACAAACTATTTATGGATGAACATGAATGCTTGGTCTGTGTGGTCAGGAAAGCGGCCCCTTGCATGTTTTTGAACTCATAAGGTTACAATTGCTGAGATGCAGCATTCACCCTGATTTCAGAGAAACAGTTGATCCCATTTGTGCAGATAAACACATTCTATTTTTATTTCTGTGTTGTTATTCCTGTTTAATACTAATCTTGAACAATAGGAGATATTGAGTTTTTTACACAATTTTTTTTACTTTTTCCTTAAAACACTGGCATTTCACTTATATACACAAGTCATAAAATGAAATGTAAAATTTCTAATTTATATTTTGAAAGCAATCTACATCATCTGAACCTATAATTCTCTAAAGATATTTTAATGCTCTAAAAGTAAATCAAATCCTCGAAAATAAAAATCCCTCTGAAAGTTCAGAATGGCTGGACACAAAGCTTCCTTGGAAGGACAGGACCATGGGACTAGGAGGACTTTTTTTGGCATCACAGGCAAGGGAAATGGCATTCTCTTAAGTGCCATGTACATAGAGATCTGTGTTGAGTACCTCTGCTCTAAACAGTGCAGCAAGACATTTAGGGAGCGACAGTACCTGGAGGTAAGGTAATACCCACTGATAATACTACCCTCTGTGTTAGGCAGGCTTATGTCTCCTTTCCACCTACAGATTCTTCCAAAAAATACTCTATATTTGAACAAGAATTTTTCAATGAAATAAAGCTAAACTTGGCCGAATTATGTGCCTGAATTGAGATCTTTTATTAGTTGATCTGTAAAAAGTGAAATCAGATTTTCCTCACTATTGTAAGACCTCAATAGGAAAGAACCATCTGCATCTCTGATTTTGGATTTTCTAATCTTGGTGACCAACATGAAAATAAATGTACCAAATAAATGTAGTTTTCAGCGTTCCTGAATAAGTTCTACCTACACCCACTGCTGGAGGCTTCAGTGACCTATGAAGTGTGAAACTGAACTGAGTACAAGAAGGCAGAACTTCATCCTTAACCTTGGGAGAAGCTGTATTTTATTGTTATATTGCAATTATGTGACTTTGGGTGTTCACAATGTGGGAAACAGTGTTTGCATGTTTGAGACTTCATACTATGTTTACTAATCAAAATTCTGTGAACTGTATCAAAACATTTTAAGGACATTTCTTGTGTTTTATGAGAAATTATTCATGTAGTGCAGTAGTGAGGAAGCTTCGCGGGCTTGCAGGTTGCCCCTGTGCCAAGCTTACTTTAAGTTACCATTCTCTCAAGTTAAACATTTTATGATCTTCCTTTTTTTTTTTTTTTTAAATGTCGGTCATGGGGCTTGAACTTGGCTTTGGCGCTGTCCCTCAGCTCTTCAGCTCAAGGTAAGCACTCTACCACTTTTGAGCCATAGCACCACTTCGGGTTTTCTGGCAATTAAGGATAAGAGTCTCACCGCCTTTCCTACCTGGGCTGGCTTTGAACAGTAATCCTCAGATCTCAGCCTCCAGAGTAGCTAGGATGACAGGCATGAGCCACTGACGCCCAGCTGATCTTCCTTTATTAAAAAATCAACTTACATTAGTTATACACAAAAGGATTTCATTGTTATCTTCTGACAGTATGAATCCCAGGTTTCTGTAGTTGATTTAAATTTTATTTTCCTTTTAAGCACTCAATCATTAGAGCATTAAATGTACAATTAAATAGCAAAACATATCTATGTTTCTTCTGAAACTTGTGAGCAGTTAAGTCAGCAGGTATGTAATTATTTTATGCTAAATACTCCCTGGAAATGCTAAGAAATTTTAGAATTCAGAGCTAATACTCATTAAGGTTTGTACTCTTTACTCATATACTCATGTACTTCTTATAAATCTCCCAAATTTTTTTTTCATTCTTATATTACACAGAAGGTAACAGGCTTTGGATGGTTGTGTAAGTTTGTTTTTATTTTTGTTTTGGTTTAGAGCTTGAAACTCAAGGCCTGGGCGCTGTCCCTGAGCTCTTGCTTAAAGCTAGTGCTCTACCACTTGAGCTATGGCTCGAGTGGTTAATTGAAGATCAGTCACAGACTTTGCCGCCCCAGCTGGCTTTGAATTGCACTCCTCAGATCTCAGCGTCCTAGGATTATAGGCATGATGCTCCAGTGCCTGGCCTGATTGAGTAACTTTAACATGGTCAAGATCATTCTGCTGGGGCTGGGAAGTTGGCTCAGTGGTAGAGTGCTTGCCTCACATTCATGAGGTGCTGAGCTTGATTCCTCAACATCACATAAGAAAAAAAGCCAGAAGTGGTGCTGTGGCTCAATGGTAGAGCACTAGCTTTGAGCTGAAGAGCTGAGGAACAGCACCCAGAGGCCCCAACAACTGATGAAAACAATCACAGCTTCTAGGCCTAAAACCATACATGACTTTTTTGTTGTTTGTGCCAGTCCTGGGGCTTCAACTCAGGGCCTGGGCACTGTCCTTAAGCTTCTTTTTGCTCAAGGCTGGTGCACTACCACTTGAACCACAGCTCAACTTCTGGCTTTTTGGTGATTAACTGGAGGTAAGACTCTGCCTGAGCTAGCTTTGAACCAAAATCTTTAGATCTTAGCTTCCTGAGTAGGTAGGATTACAGGCATGAGTCACTGGCACCCAGCTTACTTCCAACTGAATTCTGAAGTTTGTTGATTTTTAACTGATATTTGTGTGTGTGTGAGCGTGAGGAGGTGAATTCCCCTAGTATTGTGTTGGGGAGTCTTTCTGTGCTTTTAAATCTAGTAGTGTTGGTTTAATGAAGTTTGGTGAGCTACATTTGGTACACATGTTAACAACTGTTATTTTCACGATTGTTCTTTATTAAGTATGAAATGGTCAGTCTTCTAATGTTGATTTGATACATACTTTGATAAGTATACCTATCAATGGACTGTTTCCAGAGTCCATTTGCTTGGAAGACATTTTTCCACCCTTTTGGTTTTGTGTGTGTGTGTGTGTGTTGTTTTTTTTTCCAGTAAGATATGGTTCTTGTATGCAGTAAATGGTGGTCTTGCTTTTTACTCCAACTCACCAGACTGTCTTTGGGAAAACTGAGATGACAGCATTCAGAGTTGGTATTGAAAGATATAGAGTAATTCCTGCTATTACTGTAGCATGAGTCCTGCTTTTCACTTGCTTATCTACTCATCTGCTGTGATTTTTTTTCCCCCTCTGTATTTTCATGTATCTTCATTTTTTTTTGATTGTTTGTTGTTGTTGGTTGTGGGGCTTGAACTCTGGGCCTGGATGCTTTCCCTCAGCTCTTCAGCTCAAGGCAATCACTCTACCACTTGAGCCACAGCACCACTTCCGGCTTTTTCTGCTTATGTGGTGCTGAGGAATTGAACCCAGGGCCTCATGCATGCAAGGCAAGCACTCTACCACTGAGCCATCTTTCCAGCCCCTATCTTCATCTTTTGTGTATAGGTTTCCTTTTGAGTATCTTCTGCAGTGCTTTAGGAGTCATAAATCACTTGTTTCTGTTTATCGCAGAAGGGTTTTATTTTACATTTATGAATGATAGGTTTGCTAAATAGTTATCTAGGATACTAGTTACTTCAGCACTTAAAATATCTCATTCCATCCCTGCTTTAATGGTTTCTGTTGAGAAATCTGCTGTTATTCTGATGGACTTGACTTTATAGGTTACTTGCCACTTCTAATTGTATCATCTCTGAATTAAATTTCTATGTCTTTTGTTTTCTTGTATTTTATTTTTTTGGACATTTATGCATGTCTTCTTTCATCTCATTGATCATTCTTGCCATAGTCCTGAGTAATTGAGATTTCCTTTAATCCACTATCATTCTGATCCTTTCTTGCATGACTGTTTAATTTTTTCATACCATGTTTATTTTCTCATATTTTGTGTTTCTACTTTGGTATTTGGTCATCTGTAGTCAATTCATTGGCTGGCAGCCTTTAGTAACCTGATGTCTTTCCACTGAATTGTTTCATATGTCCTGGCAAGACTAGTATTGGCAGGATTAGCATCCACTTCTCACCCCCTAGGGGTCTAATTTAGAAATAACAATTCACCATTTCAACAAACCAGATACATACATGAAGTATAATATACTATTGGCAATATTATCTACACAACCAATCATGTTATATATAAATGGAACTACCATTCTCTAATGGCACAGTGGAGGGTTAGAAAAATAAGTTTTATTTGAATAGGAGTTAGAAAATTAGGAGAAATGAGGTCATGGGGCTTGAACTCTGGGCCTGGGCGCTGTCCCTCAGCTCTTCAGCTCAAGGCTAGTGCTCTACCACTTGAGCTACAGCACCACTTCCAGTTTTCTGGTGGTTTATTGGAGATTTAAGAGTTTCACGGAGTTTCCTGCCTAGGCTAGCTTTAAACCGCGATCCTCGGATCTCAGCCTCCTGAGTAGCTAAGATTACAGGTGTGAGCCACCGGCACCTGGCTTGACAGTGAAGTTTTGAGCACTGCAGATAATATACTATTGTGCACAAATGTATTTCAATTTTCTGTGTGTCAGCACTTGGACTTGAACTAGACCTCAGGGGCTGGGAAGGTGGCTCAGTGGTAGAGCACTTGCCTTGCATGCCTGAGGCCCTGGGTTCGATTCCCCAGCACCACATAAGAAAAAAGCCGGAAGTGGCTCAAGTGGTAGAGCGCTAGCCTTGAGCTGAAGAGCTGAGGGACAGCGCCCAGGCCCAGAGTTCAGGCCCCACGACTGGACCCAAAAAAAAAAAAGAACTAGACCTCATGCTCTCACTTGACTTTTTTGCTCAAGTCTGGTGGTGCTCTACCACTTAAGATGTGCCTCCAGTTCCTGTATTTCAATTCTTCTAGAAGGTGGTGTTGTCAAGGGTTGCAAAGGGATAGAAAATAAGGAAAAAGGAGGAGACAGAATAAAGCACCTGATAAACAATTTATAAACAAAAGATAGGAGAGTAAAGAAATGACAATATAAAATATTTGAAAAATATTTTTAAATTTATTTTTTCCTTGTTGAAGAGTGAATGCTGCATTGTAGCAATATAATGGATGATTTCCTCTAGTCTCTAGTCCTTAGTTTTTTTCTTTCTGTCGGCCCTGGGGTTTGAACTCAAGGGACCAGACACTGTCCCTGAGCCTTTTTGCTCAATGCTAATACTCAACCATTTAAGCCACAGCACACTTCTGACTGTTGCATAGTTTATTGGAGATAAGTGTCTCACGGACTTTC